TATTCCCCATGCAACGTAAGTGATGATTTATTATTTCTTTCTCTTCATTGCAAAGATTTCGTTTTTTACATGATAGTCATAAAACTATCTACATTCAGCCAGTTGGTAGTTTTAATCATCTACGGTAAAAATGAATTTTATTGTTTTTTTTCTGATTGAATTATTAATATGAAATTTTAGAGTTATACCACCCGATGTAATTATTGAATTTGTACGTATATTTTTTCCTGGATGCGAAGTTGAATTATTATCAACTATTGACTTTTCGAAATCTATGAAATATCGAGAAAATGATGGAATAAGACAATATCGAACAGGTAGCTTTTATAAATATTTGTCTCAAACGCGTCATAAACGTGATGCAAAACGAGAACTTTTATGTGTTGCTGTAACTATGGCTGATATTTGTATCGGCAAAATTTGGGATTGGGTTTATGGGCAAGCGCGAATAATAGATGGTGTTGGTGTTTATTCATTTGCACGTCTTGATCCATTATTTCCTGCATCACCACACATATTACTCTCAACTCCATTAACTAATGAACATCGTATAATAATGCTTCGACGTTGTGTAAAAGTTCTTTTACATGAATTAAATCATTTATTCGGTCTAAAACATTGTATCTATTATATTTGTTTGATGAATGGTGCAAATAATGAAATTGAAATGGATCGACAACCTTTGTATCTATGTCCTGTTTGTTTACGTAAACTCTATTCAACACTTCAATTTAATGTTCGAGATGTGTATGAAAATTTTATTGCTCTATGTGAAAAATACGGCCTTGAAGAAGAACGTATATGGTATCAAAAACGCCTAGATTGCATTCAAGATACTAACAAATAATTGAAAATAAGATAAAAAAAATAAAAACAGGAATGAAAACAAGATCATCTGTAGCATTCTTACTAATAAACTGTGATATGTAAAATATTCGTAAATTATTTTGAACTAAAACGAGATTGAACATGATAAATTTTTAATAAAAAAAATCGATGATAAATACACATTGTAGCATCTAGTTTTTCGTAGAGATGAAAATGTTTATTCTACATTAAACTGTTATGACTCGTAAAGCCATAGAGGTCATATATCACCTTAAATTCGGTTAGGTTCAAATTATGAGTCCATAGCCCGAGCATGAAGAAAAATGTTAAGTTGAGTTTAGATATGATCTCATAGCCGGATCCGACCCAAAAACTAATAAGATTTCAACTTTTTAAAATATTTTTTTTTCTAACTGATAATTTATATGAAAGGATAGAAATAAATGTTTGAAAATCGTACTGTAACTGTGAAATTATCTGCAGGATCTCGATTAGTTTTGAACAGACACCAGTCGCAATTCTTCGCGTCCGGATCCGATTATAACAAGTCTTAATCGTGCAGGACACTAATTCGATATATTACCTAGTGAAAATATCTAGTATAAGATACCCAACAAGGTATCCTGGTACTAATATGTTCGAGGAACTTAGTCAAGTATTCTGCTGAAAATCGTCTCAATTCTCGGGTACCAGAAACAGGTACTTGGAAGCTTTCAAAATATCTTGTGTTATAAGTGCTTTCGTATACTAGTTTTGTTTTTATGCTCACGGCGGTGACGATGGCTGAAAATTTCGAAACTGAATAACTCTTTAAATGATAAAAGATATATGTTTATTTCAGTATCAAATCATTTTTAGTTTCAAAAGCCTAAATAGAATAATTATATTTCGCACGTTAGTTTAATCAAGACAATACATGTAGGAAATATGGAGAGAAATAGTGAATTACTACTCAGTTTTGCTCGAAATCAAAAGATCCAGCGACTTGAAAGGAAGAGTAAGACAGACCTAATTTATGTATATCTCTACAAAGCATTAATTTTGATTCATGTCCGAGTTGTTGTATTAATTTTACAACTTTTGTTGTATAGCAGCTTGGAGAAAACAGAGAGAATATAAATACTTATTTTTCGGTTTAACCTGCTGAGTTTCTATTACTCAATTGATTGTCAATAAGAAATTTTTGATATTGCTTGCGTCTCATGTGTCACTGAAAAAGCTAAATCTTTTTCGATTGAGAGTGCATTATGATGTATTTATTCAGACTCTCACTTATCGAAGCAAATTTTTCAATAAATTCGTTGAATATCTAATATTTTGTTTGGTTTTTTTGTGCATGTAACGCAAACAAATTATCGTTTTAATAGATTGAGTGACTCGATTAGAGTAAAAAGACTTTTATTAAAATGATGTAAACTTATTATATCGGATAATAGATTCAGTTACAAATTAAACACACACCGTCAATATCAATAAAAGTGCAAAGCATTTCTATTTTTCTGGATACAGTATTAGTTTTTTCGAACATACAAACAACTGAAAAAGTTAACAAGAACTTTCCTAATGCAAACATAAACGAAAATACAGTACCCAACAAAAGTATCCCCCCCCCCCTCCTGGAGCTCATATTGTGACTGAGATCCAAGGGGGAGGGATACTTTTGTCGGGTACTGGATAACAGATGTTAATCAACGCATGTAGATAGATTAGTAGAAAATACCTAAAGAGAAGGACAATATTCGTAGTAAACTGTAGACATGGAGCTTTTGTGTTCAATTGCAGAATACTAAAAGAGAACCCATTCGAATATTATAATTTGAAAAGCTTTACTTCATTAGAACTGCAGTCCATTGAGCATCGCCATTCGTAATCTTAAGTGTTTTACTGACTTCTGCATCGTATAGTATGAAGGTTTTAAGATATTATCTTCCAAGTTTTAAACTTCTTCGTACAGTTGCTAATGAAGTTCTGCTACAAACGATGTATTCATGCCACAATCACTTAAGCATAGTCGACAAC